TCAAAGTAGAATTTTCTTTCTTTCTTTCTTTCTTTTTTTCCCCCCTTTGAGACAGAGCCTTGCTCTGGCTCTGGCTGGAGTGCAGTGGCACGATCTCAGCTCGTGGTAACCTCTGCCTCCTGGGTTCAAGCAATTCTTGTGCCTCAGCCTCCCAAGTAGCTGGAACTACAAGTGTGTGCCACCACACCCAGCTAATTTTGATTTTTTTTTGAGTACACATGGGGTTTGACATGTTGTCCAGGCTGGTGTCAAACTCCTGGCCTCAAGTGATCCCGCCACTTCGGCCTCCCGAAGTGCTGGGATTACAGGCGTGGGCCACTGCACCCAGCCTGAAGTATAATTTTCATAATATGAAAAGTTTGACTTTCACACAAATAATGAAGGAATATGTACAAGATATTTTCTTTAATTTACAAGGGAGTCAGCAACACGGTGAAGCTAGTTCAAAGAGTGTTTTGAGAGACAGTGTCTGCAATGCTCCAGGAAGGGCATTCTGAAATGCATTCTGAAATAGAGACAAAACTTGTTAATATCCTAAAGGGAGGTTGAGCATGGTGGCTCATGCCTGTAATCCCAGCACTTAGGGAGGCCGAGATAGGAGGATCACCTGAGGTCAGGAGTTCAAGATCAGCCTGGCCAACATGGTGAAACCCTGTCTCTACTAAAAATACAAAAATTAGCCAGGTGCGGTAGTGGGTGCCTGTGGTCCCAGCTACTGAAGAGGCTGAGGCAGTAGAATCGCTTGAACATGGAAGGCAGACACCGCAGTGAGCCGAGATCATGCCACTGCATTGCAGCTTGGGTGACAGAGCAAGATTCTGTCTCAAAAAAAAAAAAAAAAAATCATATTGGGAAATAAAACTGTCCTCTTTGGGAGTTATCTTTCCTACTGGACAGAAATCTGTAAGTTAACTTATATACATATTCTCCAGTATATTCATAACATATTCTCTAGTATATTTCCCTACACTAGTGGTTTTCAAAGCATGTCTCAAATTGGAAGCATCAGCATCACCTGGGAACATAGACATGCAATGCTCAGGCCCTCCTCAGTCCTACTGAGTTAGAAACTCTGGTGTGGGGCCCAGCAGCCAGTTTCACAAGCCCTGCAAGTGATTATGATGCACTCTAATGTGTCAGGATCGCTGCTCTAAATAGTCAAATAATCTTTAATTATAAAATAAGTATCTATGAAAAATGCTACAGTATGACATTAAAAGGGCACACCACCCACCTTTAACTTTATTTCTCAATTTAAATATTTTGTCTGTCTGATGTTAAATTTGCTGTTTTGTTTTTCAAATACTAAGACAGTTTTCATCTCTTCCTAATCATCTCTTTTTAAATAAAAAGTGGTTTTCCAAATCTATCCATTTTTCTCTTCTTTAAGCTATTGATAGGATGGAACTAAAGTTGAGTCATTCTTCTGTGTTTTGTTTTGTTTTGTTTTGTTTTTTCATACAGAGTCTCACTCTGTCGCCCAGGCTGGAATGTAGTGGTGTGATCTTGGCTCACTGCAATCTCCACCTCCCAGGTTCAAGTGATTCTTGTGCCTCAGTCTACTGAGTAGCTGGGATTTACAGGCACCGGGCACCACGCCCTGCTTTTTTTTTTTTTCAAGTAGAGAGAAATTTTGCCATTGGCCAGGGTGGTATCCCACTCCTGACCTCAGGTGATCTGCCTGCCTCAGCCTCCCAAAGTGCTAGGATTATAGGCATGAGCCACTGCACCCAGCTTTTTTCTTTTTCTTTTTTTTTTCTTTTTGACATGGTCTCACTCTGTTGCTCAGGCTAGATGGAGTACAGTGGTGCCATCATGGCTCACTGCAGTCTCCACCTCCCAGGCTCAAGAGATCCTTTGACCTCAGCCTCTTAGGTAGCTGCGACAACACGTGTGCATCAGCACAAGTGGCTAATTTTTTGTAGAGACTGGGGTCTCCCTATATTGCCCAACAGATCCAGAACTCCTGGGCTCAAGTGATCCACCAGCCTTGGCCTCCCAAAATGCTATGATTACAGGTCTTATGTTCTTAAAATTTTTCATCGACATGGTATAGGATAGTCTAGTAACTTGACATACTGTTGTTTTCAAGGGGCTAGTGCTTATGATTTGTAAAAGAACTCTTTAGAAATGAGCTCAATTTTACCATGAATTGGGACACTTTCCATTTCTTTCTATTCTATAGAGCAGTTTGCTTGTCATGAGCTCTGTCTTTTGAAAACCTGAAACAATCAAACCAGCTGCACCTGGTGCATGGGATGGGCATGGAATTGAGGACAGAGCTCAAACTACAGTCAGCCCTCTGTATCCTCGGGTTCGGGATCCCTGGGTTTTACCAACTGTGCATCAAAAATACTTGGAAAAAGGAAAACAATAAAAAAACAAACATTTATAAATACTTTATAACAGGTAATTACAAAGCATTTATGTTGCATTAGGTTTTATAGTAATCTAGAGATGATTTAAAATCTACAGACGGATGTGTATAGGTTATTTGCAAATACTATGCCATATTATCTCACGGACTTGAGCATGGGTGAATTTTGGTATCTCTGGGGTCTTGGAACCAATATCCTGAGGTTACTAAGGGATGACTCTATTCAATTTCTTGTCTGGTTATTAGTCTATTCTCTAATGTATTTTTGTTGTTGTTTTGTCTTTTTGTTTTTGCCTCTTCAAGTCAATGTCAGAAACTTAGTTGTTCTAGATTACCCATTAGCTCAAAGCTACCAGTAAGCTGACTACCACTGCAATCTAAGCAATCGATTTTTTTCCCCATCAGATTGGCAATAATTAAGAATCTATTGACGTTGAGGCTGTAAGGAGTTTTCCTGAGCATGTTAATTATGACAGTCTTTTTGCTAGGCACCTAGACGACTCACCAAAATGAAATAAAATACCCATGCACTTGAAGAAGTTATCTGGTTAGTTCCTTATCTGGGTGCTGGTTATGTGAGGTCTACAGTTGATGAAAACTTATTAAGCTTTATATTTATAATAGGTACAATGTTCTGTATGTGTAGTAGATTATTTTAAATAGTTTTTAAAATGTCTTTTGCCACAGCCTGCAGCTGTGTATAATGCTATTCGCTTAACAGTGGAAATCATGGCAATGACCTGAATCCCACTGGCTCCCAAGATCCTACCACCTTAAGTTAAACAAATGAAATAACTCCCACTGTCAGTTAAACTGGCGGTGGGCGCTGGGTTTTTTCCAGGGAAGGATTCTGGGAGAGGAGGAGGAGACGCCAGCTTTTCCCCCGGGCACCTCCAGGGGGCTGCGGACCGCTCTCAACCTCACTGGAGCAGCCCCCGCCCTCCCAGAGTCCGTTAGTCCAAGTCACCGGATCGTGGAATCAGCTGACCCCACGCGACTGGAAAAAGAAATTCCCGGGCCCTGGCTTCCTGGCGCGCCCTCTCCGCAAACACAGTGTGTGCGAGCGTGGGGGCTGTGGGCGTGGTAGAGAGAAGTCCACCGCCATCTGGCTCCCGAGACGGGGGTGGGGGCGTGGGGGGCGGGTAAGACAGAGCAGGCCGGCCAGCTTAGAGTCCCGGTGCTTCCCTGGCTGAAGCACCATCCATCCATCCTTCCATCCATCCCTGCGTTCTAAGCACCTAGTCTCTACCATGAAGTGTGCTAGGCGCTGGGAGGACTTGAGCTGCCAAGGGAAGGGGAAATCGGAGGCTTGAATTGGCAGTCATAGTTAAGGCTCCAGGGGCGGAGACCTAACTGCGCCTTGTGTGTACATGCAAGGCGGATGGCAGGAGCTGGCTGGCCGAAATACAGTTTGTGTACCAGGGTTGGGAGGCAAGCGTGGGAGGCGTGTGTCTTCAGACAGGGAACAGCACGTGCAGAGACCAGGTTAGAGAGAGCATGGCTCCCCAGGAATGAATACATTTCTCATAGCCGGGAGAGTATCATCTGGAGGTTAGGGAAAGATGAGGCTGCACAAGCAAAGATCAAATCTTCCTGGCTCTTGGATCACCACAATCAAGATAATGAACATCTCCACCGGCCACCAAAATTTCCTTGTGTGAGGGGCTATTTTAGGAAGTATGATCAAGAAGAGCCGGCCTGGCGGGGTGCAGTGACTCACGCCTGTAATCCCAGCACTTCGGGAGGCTGAGGTGTGTGGATGACCTGAGGTCAGGAGTTCGAGATCAGCATGGCCAACGTGGTGAAACCCTGTCTCTACTAAAAATACAAAAAAACCGGGTGTGATGGTGTGTGCCTGTAGTCCCGGCTACTTGGGAGGCGGAGGCAGGAGAATTGCTTGAACCCGGGAGGCAGATGTTGCAGTGAGTCAAGATTGTGCCATTGCACTCCAGCCTGGGAAACAGAGCAGGACTCCGTCTTAAGAAAAAAAAAAAAAAAGAGGGGCTGGTCTGATGAGGGGTCACTTGAGCAGAGAGTGGAATGAAATAAAGGATAGCAAGCCACACAGTGCGCAGCAGGAAAGGATGGTGGGAGCAAAACTGGTGTCCCTGAGCAGCAGCAGGGAAGCCAGAGCGGCTGGACTTGTGTGGGTATGGGGAAGAGGGGAGAGAGGTCACTCGTCTCTGTGAGGCACAGGACTTTGTTTTATTCCCTGCTGTATCCAAGTGCTTAGAGTGGGAAGTAGCACAGAGAAGTCGCTCAATTGATGTTTGCTGAGCAGACGAATGCCTGGAGTAGACCTCAGAGCAGGGTTTAGTGGCAGGGTGGGTCAGGGAGAGAGTTCACTCAACACCCTGGTGATAGGGGAGAACAGGTGGCCAGAGGGTATCCATCTATGATGGGGACCAGGGGTCCCTGCTGGGCAGCAGTGTGGGAGACACACGGATCCTGGCCACACCTCAGCCCTCCCTCCAGCCTGATTACCTGCCCCCCTCCCTTGCAGAGGTTCCAGTTCTGTGGTGATCTGGACTGTCCTGACTGGGTCCTGGCAGAGATCAGCACGCTGGCCAAGATGGTTGAGTGCACAGGGTCTAGTCTGGGTGGAGGAGGGGCGCTGGGCTGGGGATTTTGGGTGTAGATGATGGTGAGTTTTCTCTGGGATTAGGGCCTCAGTGCTCTCAGCCTGTGCTACCATGCTTTGTGACCATGATCAGCAGCTGGCCTGCTCTGAGCCAGTCCCCAGGAAGGAGGGGTGAGGTTCGCCAGCCTGGCTGATGTAAGGACTTCCCTTCCAGTCCTCTGTGAAGTTGCAGCTGCTCTGCAGCCAGGTACTAAAGAGCTGCTGGGATAGGGGAATGATGTGAGTACAAGACCCAGCACCCCATTGTCCCATGACCTTATGACCCCCAGTGCCCTGAAGCTCTGCACTAGGCCCGGGGAGATGGGTGACCCAGCTTCGAAATCTCTCTGGGCACCTCCCATACTTCTTTCCAGCCTGTCTGTTCTTATTGCAGGAACCAGGCTGAGGGTGAGGGGCTGGTGAATAGGGTACTGGCACCCTCTGAAGGTCTCCTTTCCCCATAGTATGAGAAGATCCTGAAGCTCACGGCTGATGTCAAGTTTGGTGAGTACCCTGCTGAGTCCGCAGGCCCCAAGCAACCCTGGGACTTCAGCCTGGTGCCTGGTACAGAGGGGCCCCCACCCCTCCCTGCAGCATCCTTAACTTACCTTCCCTAGTGGAGGAGCATAAGGGAAAGAAAGACATTGACAGTCCCACCTTCCTGTCCTCTGCCAGTTCCTGGTGGAGCAGGAGCAGTGCCTGTGGCTTCAGGAGGCCTGGGAGCTTTGTGCTGAAGTTAATAGGGCAACTGGGAGGTGGCTGGGGCCACAGTGA